GGCCAAACAAGATGCCCTGCCCCTCCTTCATGGCCTCTTGTTACTCTAATCCATGTCTAATAATAATTCTTCCTAGTGATCTTTGAATTAGCCCAACCCATTAATTCCCAATTTCTCTTGCTCCAGCTAAGAGGGTGAAGGGTTTCACAATCGTAACATTTGAGGGAAGCTGAAGGAGAACACAAAGAAAGTCTTAGTGGGGACAAGATTGCTGATTTCAGACATTTAAGGGCATCCCTGTGAAAGAGGGATTAATTTGTCATGACATCAGAGAACCAAGCTGGGACCGAGGAGTGGCAGGCAGGTGGAGGCGGATTTCCGGCTCAGTGGCATGAAGAGCAAACAGCCTTGAGTGCCAGAATGGGCTGCCCTGTGAAGCAGAGAGCTCCCCAGCACCAAAAGTATGGAAGCAGAGGAGCTTTGACTGCTTAATAAGAGGGAATCTTGCATTGGATAGAGAGTTGGTCTAAGAACTGGACTCAGAGACATCTGAGGCCCTTTCTAATGGAATTACCATGATGCCAAACTCACTGGTGAGTCTTCTCAGACTGGGAAATTCCTCCATCATTTCTTGGCTCTACCGCCTCTTCAGTGTCTGCAGAAGGCCTGGGTGAGAACGTGTCACATTGCCCAGATATCATCGCCCCCCATCACAGTTGAAAAGCTGAGTGTGACAGTCATCCACCTGCAGATGAGGGTTTTTTAAACATCCCTCATGGCAGAAAGCTGGATGCCAGTAAACCAAAGGCTAACACTCCCTTATTTTCCCATCAGCCTACTGCTCTTACAAAACCTTCCTTCTTCTTGTAGAACAAAGGGGTTTGTTGAGTTCATCACTTCTTTCCTGACAGTATATGCAGACTGAAACAGGGCCTGGGACACAGCAGGTGCTCAATCAATCTTTGTTGAAGGAAGGGATGGATGCATTTTAAAAGCAAGAAAAGAGAGTGTACAAGGCTTGACCCAAAGTCCAATATCTTAGCCATTCCAGGCCCATCTGCAAAAGAGGGACAGATATGCTGATAGCACCTTGTTTTAGGGTTGCTCTGAGGATTAGAGGGTATGAGGAAGGGGATGTGCTTAGCAGAATGTCTGACACATAATCAAGGCTTAATAAATGGTAGCTCTCCACATTATTTTTATTATAATTGTTATTGTTACTGTTATTTTAAACAATAGGATCTGGGAGGAGGTGGAGAAGACAGAGATATTTGGTATTAGAACAGAACTTCTTCCCTGTTACTCCTTGTTTTACTCCATCTGGAACTGGCAAATGATTCCATGCGGGTTTTAAGGGGCGGCAACCAGGACTTCAGTTAGCAAAGGGATGGCTCTCCCTGCTTCAGAGGATTGTGTTCTTCAGGGTGCAGGGGACTACTGCTCACTGCCTTGGTGATAATGGAGCCCTCTGGGAGACTGTGGATGTGAGTTTAGAGGTGGAAAATGAACCCTGGGCTTCTAGGGGCACTAGGGGGAGTCTAAGAAGACTTGATACAGTAAAGACCTGCTGAAAAATGTTGTGAAAGAATGAGTTTGTGACTGAAATTTTCTTAAGTACTTACCAACAAATGAGAGAATTTGTGAAAACTAAAACATGTATTTTTACAAATCTTGTCAGTTCTATCTGTGTACCCTACCAGGGACTCTGGGTGGGGCTGGGAGCCTCCCTTCTAGTCAGAGGGTCTGTGGACACCACGTTTGTTGGCCCTGAATGGGGAGGAGAATGGAAACAACATGTAAAGGCAGATGTCCTCCCCAAAGAGAAATTTGCAAACACATATTTAGATGTATATGTACCTTCTTCCTTTACTTAATATTCTAGCAAAGGAACTTTCTACTGTACTCAGTGAAATGCCTCAAACACTCTGCTAGATTGGGGGTTGGGTTGTTAAAGACTTAGGGCAGAGTCAAGTGACTTACATTTTACAAAAAAACACAAAGGCCCAAAGAGATTCCATTGTTTGTCATAGCCACAGATGCTTCAGCTGCTAAGTGGTGTGAGGGGCCTATGATCCATACCCCTAATTACCCACCAACCTGGTGAGTGAACCTCAGAAATGACCTAGTTACTCCAATGAATATAAGCATAGATAAAAGCACTGGACAAAAGCTGCAGGATGTGACTGACTAGTAAGTTATATGTCAAGCCCTTTTCAAACAGGTGAGTAACAGCAGACTTTTCAAGCACCTTTCCAGTGTCACTCATTCCACCAGGTCCTGGTACGGCCTGGCCAGCTGTGACAGCTAACTGCCCCACCACATGCAGCTTACAGCCCTTTCCTTATGGATTCAAGATGGTGAGGAGACAGCAATTCTCAGAAAAGACTTCTGGAAAGGTTAAACAATGCTCTCTCATTCATCAAATAAAGGAGATTGAAGCATGAATATTTACTTATTTTTAGACTATATTATGTAATGAAAACCATAATCCAGAGCAGACTATATATTACTCTTTATTTAGCATTGGTGGTCATAACATTATTGTCCTAGAAAACCAAAGTTATCTTTTTTAAATCTGAATTTCCCAAAGAGTGTTTCTCAAAAGTAATGGCTTCAATGCTCCCCAATTGATGCAAGGCATTTAATCTAAATTCTATAATGAACAAGTCATAATAATTTGCAATAAACCTTTTGCCTCTTTCTCCCCCAAGATGACTACCATCTGACATCTGTTTCCTTCTTCCACACTTTGACCAGGATAGGATGCCAGCCATTGTTAAAATACACATGAGTTTGTGACTGGTGGTCAGCAGGTAGTTGTGTAGTCCACTGTCATACAGACAAATTTCTGGTGGTTGTACTCTTAGGCAATATTAATTAAATAGAGTATGAAGGGACATTTAAAGTGACCCCAAGATTAAACTCTCATTTGGAGTTTGTTTGATGACTAACAGTCACTACTTCCAATTTGGAGACGTTACAATATAACTTGGCTGCTGACAAAAATATTAACCATAAGTGATGAAAAATTTTCAGCTGGGACCAGAAGAACATCTGGAGGTCATTAAAACTGGAGAATTTTCTCTCTAAATCCTGATTGCCAAAGTTAAAGCCAGCCACCCAGAAACTATGGCCCTCATGCCAACTCAATGTTTATGTTTCATTAAAAGTGATTTCAAGGATTTACATTTTGTTCCACATGACTCAGTTGCCGTGGTTACAGCCTCTATTCTCCCTGGGCGTGTCCTGGTGTGCACAGTATTCATCATCTCTCTGGGTTTGGAAGGAGGATCTTGTGAGGAATAATCCCAGATTCCTTTTTTTACATCCAGAGGCCCACCAGGAGTCTGACAGGCACACCATTCTGAGATGAATGAGGAGAAAAAGTAGGGTGCAAGACCCAACAATGAAAATATTACAATAAAAAATACTATGCTAGGGTTTTCTTTTAAGTACCTATACTATGTAATAAAAGCGACTAATGGGAAGTTACATGATTGAAACTATGTGTTAGTTTTGTATTGTTGCTATAACGATTGCCACAAACTGAGTGGTTTAAAACAACACAAATTTGTTATCTTGCTGTTCTGCAAATTACAAGTCCAATACTGGTCTCGCTGAGCTGAAACCAAGGTACCATCAGGGCTATGTTCTTTTAGGGAGGTTCTAGGAGAAAATCTATTTCCTTGTCTTTTCTGCTTCTAGAGGTTGCCCGCATTCTCAGTCTGTGGCCCCTTCCTCCTTCTTAGAGGCCAGAAAGTTTACACCACTCTGACCCAGCAAAGATCATCCCAAACCCCTCTGACCTGACTTCCCTGTTCATTCTAGTCTTNTACATAAAAGACAGGAAGGATTGTGTTGGACTCCATAGTTAACCACTTTAAAACAAGTTACATTCCGATCTCCTGATGTAACACAATAAAATCCACGTATACAGAAGATTAAAATGCCAACAATGGGACCATAAAAGAATAGGAAAAACAATATTCATGCCATCTGGGAATGGAAATGGTCTCTCTGAGTCTATCCCAATGCTAGGCTCAGAGTCTCTGCTCAAAAACTGCTTTTTGAAAGATAAATTAATAAATTGTCAGACAAACCACAGAGAAACATATAGATAACCTCAACTCCATTTGAATTTAAGGTATTTGTGAGTCAAAAAAAAATTAAATTACAAGACAAATGATAAAAAGAAATAGGGATTAATGATGCATTATGTGGTAGATGTGGGCTTGATATCCTTTATACAGAGAATTCTTAAAAATTTTTTACAAGTCAAAATAAGATGATCACTCTCATGGGGGAGAAATGAACAACAGAAACTATCAAACATATTTAAACATTTTCCAAATGTATTTCCCTTGTCAAACATAGGGTAAACTTTAAAAAATGATTAATTTCACTAGTAATCAAAGGAACAGATAGAGCCTCTCCACTTGGTGGAAACGGCTTCTCCTAAGAAGGTAATACCCAAGGCTCCTCAGATCCTGCACTCTTCATTCTAGAATTAAAATAAATACCAACCAGCACATTCCTGACAAGAAATGAAACAAAAATCTTTAAAGTTACATTCCCTTTTAACCTAGAAATTCTAGAAATTTTCCCCAGGGCAAACTATTAAGGGCATGCACAAAGTTCTGCCCACAGAGATACAAAGTATCCTTTACAATACCATTGGAACGGAAACAACTGAAATATCTAACACTAGGGAATTGGTTAAAAAAGAAAAACCCAGCAACTATGATGAGGCATCTGTATGGCTAAATGCTAAGCTACTGTTTACCATCGCACAGAAGAGCTCATCACTGACTTTGAAAAATACAGTATTTTGTCACCGAAAAATCACATCAAAAGCAGTTTGTTCTGCATTCTCCCATTTTTTTTGTGAGCCAAAAATACGTATTATTTTAGTTCATGTTATTTTTGAGTTTTTCGATAATTCCATGTTAATTATATAGTTCTTAAAAATTAAAAGCAGTGACAACTGGAGTGGTTTTTCGAGGGGAGACAGAGATGCTCCCAGAGACTCCCAGAGCCCCATAAACGAGCCCAGAGGTGTGATGCTTCCCGCGGGTCCCCTGGGCTTCATCACACTTGAAGGCATGGCTCGGAACACCCCGGTATGAGTTCTGGCTGCTCCGTCGGCCCGTCTGTTGTCAAGGCTAGTCATTTATTCAAGATGTTCCTTGCGGAAGGCTTCCATACTCAGGAGGAAAAGAAGTGGCGTGTGAATTTTTCAGACAAAGTAAGGATATGCTTCCTAACGAGGGAGTTGAGCTCTGGAGCAGTGGCAGACATCTCTCAGTCTAACAGGCCAGCCTGCTTTGCAGAGGAACTGTANTTTCTCAAAAGTAATGGCTTCAATGCTCCCCAATTGATGCAAGGCATTTAATCTAAATTCTATAATGAACAAGTCATAATAATTTGCAATAAACCTTTTGCCTCTTTCTCCCCCAAGATGACTACCATCTGACATCTGTTTCCTTCTTCCACACTTTGACCAGGATAGGATGCCAGCCATTGTTAAAATACACATGAGTTTGTGACTGGTGGTCAGCAGGTAGTTGTGTAGTCCACTGTCATACAGACAAATTTCTGGTGGTTGTACTCTTAGGCAATATTAATTAAATAGAGTATGAAGGGACATTTAAAGTGACCCCAAGATTAAACTCTCATTTGGAGTTTGTTTGATGACTAACAGTCACTACTTCCAATTTGGAGACGTTACAATATAACTTGGCTGCTGACAAAAATATTAACCATAAGTGATGAAAAATTTTCAGCTGGGACCAGAAGAACATCTGGAGGTCATTAAAACTGGAGAATTTTCTCTCTAAATCCTGATTGCCAAAGTTAAAGCCAGCCACCCAGAAACTATGGCCCTCATGCCAACTCAATGTTTATGTTTCATTAAAAGTGATTTCAAGGATTTACATTTTGTTCCACATGACTCAGTTGCCGTGGTTACAGCCTCTATTCTCCCTGGGCGTGTCCTGGTGTGCACAGTATTCATCATCTCTCTGGGTTTGGAAGGAGGATCTTGTGAGGAATAATCCCAGATTCCTTTTTTTACATCCAGAGGCCCACCAGGAGTCTGACAGGCACACCATTCTGAGATGAATGAGGAGAAAAAGTAGGGTGCAAGACCCAACAATGAAAATATTACAATAAAAAATACTATGCTAGGGTTTTCTTTTAAGTACCTATACTATGTAATAAAAGCGACTAATGGGAAGTTACATGATTGAAACTATGTGTTAGTTTTGTATTGTTGCTATAACGATTGCCACAAACTGAGTGGTTTAAAACAACACAAATTTGTTATCTTGCTGTTCTGCAAATTACAAGTCCAATACTGGTCTCGCTGAGCTGAAACCAAGGTACCATCAGGGCTATGTTCTTTTAGGGAGGTTCTAGGAGAAAATCTATTTCCTTGTCTTTTCTGCTTCTAGAGGTTGCCCGCATTCTCAGTCTGTGGCCCCTTCCTCCTTCTTAGAGGCCAGAAAGTTTACACCACTCTGACCCAGCAAAGATCATCCCAAACCCCTCTGACCTGACTTCCCTGTTCATTCTAGTCTTTCCCACCAATCAATCCTTAGTAAACAAGGTCATTGTCATATCATCCCTGTGTTTGGGAACCAGTAGCCTTTTAGAATAAAGTCAGAATCTTCAACCTGCCAAGAAAAATTGCCACAATCCAGCCTTATTCTTCCCATCTTCATTGCTGCCTTCCGCAGCACCACACCCCCTTATGTAATTCTAACCCTGTCCTGCAAGCTCCACCCTCACTCTTTATCCGTGGCCTTCCTTCCTCTCATTTCCCATCCCCCCGTCCGGAATCAGGTTTCTTTAATAGCCTTGTTCAAGATTTACCTTCTTTATGAAGCTTTCCCTTCCCTAACTATGCTCTGCAAAAATCTTCACAAACAGTTGATGTACCCTCAGCAATTATAAACACACATATGTATTATTTCATTCAAAATATCTATGAAACATCTATTGTGTGCAAGTACTATTGTTTCAGACCCACCTCCATATCTCCCTAATTCCCCATTATAATGGACTCATTTACTTATCCAGTAGATGCTTATTGAGTGTAAGCACTGGTAGACAAAGATGAATCTCTGTTACCCACCATCATCACGACACAGTGTGTTAGAAGAGACAAGACATTCACATAGTAATTATAACAACATAGAAGAAAGTGGTACATGCCCCCAAGAAATTACACAGCATAAAAGAGCTCATGAGAGAGACTGCCTGAAGCTGATGGAATTGAAGCTTGTAATGGAAGAGGTAGCCTTTCAGCTCTTCTTGAAAGATGGATAAGAACTGAGCAAATGGCAAGGGCAGAAGAGACACATTCCAGGGAGAAAGAATAAAGCATGAGAAAGTGATGCAACTCAGTGGAAAGACCAGCAAGAGGCTGTGTTCTGGGGCTATCCTAAGAAGGTCATGGGCAGGAAAGCAGGCAAGGGAAGGCAGAGGACCCCCAGCATGTCCACTGTTCTCCAGAGGGCCATGACCCACAGCCCGGAAGCAGTACCCCTCATGACAGTCCCCAGAAAAGGGCAGTTGCTGCTTAAACTCGTGGTCTCCTGTGTCCTATGTCCCTAGCAGTGTGGTCAGCTATGGCTAGGCTGCACGCACTGATCTGATGATGGTTTTGAGATGAAGGAACAGAGGGGCTGCAACAGGAACCCAGAAGATTGCCATCAATGGGGACAAGTGAGGCTGAGGAAGAGCTGCATGGCTCTGGGCTGAGTAGAGGTCATCCTTCGCAGAGGAGCATGGGGTAGGCGTGAGTAGAGATTCTGTAGATTAGAAACTGTAAAGGCTTTGCTCCAAGTATCAGCCATTTTTTACCAGTTTACAACTTAAGAGAACTTAAGAGTCCCTGGAAATGCTGTCCAGCTCTGTCGTTGGTGGGGCAGATGAGTGTCTATTTGCACATTTGAACAAAGTGGCCATATAGTGCAGACCTCCAGAGCACTGTATTTGCAGTGTGTAGATGTGAGTTTGAATCCAGGGTCAGCCACATGATTTTCTGTGTAACCTTGGACAACTCAATGTCATCTATAAGATGTGAATGACCTGACAGAATTGTCGTGAGGCTTCAGTGATGTAATACTTTTAAATTACTCAGCCCAGGAAGGGTTTGATAAAACAAACGGTAGCTGATAGGAAAAAAGATGACCGTCTTTGCCCAAACAATAGAACTCCATTTTACTGGGAGAGCAGTGTGTGTGGTTTCTTGGACTTGACACCAGGCTTAGACTGTCCTCCAGTTGGTATTGTAATATAAAGAACAAATATGAATATTGAAAATGGACCCAGATCACAAAGAAATTCACTTCTTAAAGGGAAATGTGATACCAGGTCCGATACACTCATAGCTCATGGTAGTTA